GATAAAATACAGCACAGATTAAAGTCTAAAGACAGACAGAGCAAATGTTGATCAGGTACAAAGTCTCAATAGGGAAATGTGCCTCTTGCCTCCCATCTAGAATCTGAAAACCTCCAATAGCCTGTGTGTCTAATAGAAACAGTATTGTCTTCTATAAGCTGCTCTATATGTTTCCAAATACTCTCCTTTACTCTCTACATTGACTTGTGTAATCCCTGTGTGACTGGATCAGCTTTTTAAAGGCCCATAATGACCAATCATCTTCTTCTGTGAGCTCCCAAATCAATTCAGAGTCACATTCTAAGGATTTGAACCTAAAATGACTCATTCTCTTTCTGTTTGTTCTGCAGGGGGGAAATTACTAGTTTTTCCATTTTGAATGAGATTTCATTCAAGAGGGACTGTAGAAAGACAAGCAAGGATAAATTAGACTATTGTATATGGAAGACATACACACAGAGAGGTTTAAAACAATGTGGAATCAAGTCAGTGAATATAAAAAGATGTTAAATAAGTCATTGTTTTCAGTATTCATAAACATTTTTTAATATAAACAACTTTTTATATTTCAAATACTTTGCTTTACTGGTCCTATATTACACAAAGTTGATTCTTGTGAGCTTTAAGACGTGTTAACTCAAAAGCAAATCTGGAGTTGTGTTTTGTTTCAGTCACACATGTTTGAGTAACCCTACTACTTCTCCTTGTGATGTCATGAAGCAGTAGTTTTCAGGTTAACAGCCACAGTACCTTTTATCTATAGTTCAGTAGAGATTGGCAGTCCCAGGACTGAAATCACCCAAATGATTTTAGGCTATGTTTATATGATGATGGTCTGAACAAAAGACGCAAAAGTGGCGTCACGTCTTCACTTTTTATTCTGCATTTAGATGAGCGGTTTTGGGAGGAAATCTGCGTGCATACTGTGGTGCAAAAGTATGTGAAATTTGCGAAATAAAAAGTCAGGATGCGACAAAACATAGACTTTGTCAGGATTACTTTATCAGACCCTAGAACCCACCCAGATGTGAGGAGAACATGCAAACTCCACCTGGGAATTGAACCCTTGACCTTTTTGCAGTAAGGTGAAAGTCCTAACTACTCCACCACTGTGCCATGTAGTGGATTAGTCCCACAGGACAGAGTGAAAGAACATGAGTGGACTTAGTGGTGCCTCAGTTTTTGCTCTCATAGTTGAATCATATCCGCACACTCTTACGCTGATTGTGACATTTTCAGATGTGAATGTCAGGAACCATAACCTTTAATAGTCTTCTAATTCAGAGTCGAGAGTCTAATTAAGTAACAAATGAAACTGCTCTTTAGGGCACAGTGAGAACAGCAGAAACCAAACCAAAGAGGAAAACAGCTTATTAAATGTGTTTCATATCTCCATGTTTATTTTTTATGTATTCAATATTCATTAGTTTTAAAAAATCCACAAAAACTCCAGCTGCTTATTTCATTCTAGATTTGACTGAATTCATGGTTTTAATCAATGCAGTAAGTATCTGTTAAAAGTGTGTTAATAAAGATGAGTTCAAAGTTCTCTGTGATCAGCTCATCTTAAAACCCACTTTTATTCTCTGGCTTTTAACACTGTGTGAGTTGTGTGATCTTCTGTGTCTATTATTCTTTTGTGTTAGTGGTTTTAATGAATTATTCTTGTATTTATGTTGTAGAAATAAAGTGGATAAGATTGGCCAGTTGGCTCTAATTTGAACCCAGTTTAGTCCCTTAGGCAGTGTCAGTGGCGGAGTTAGCAATTTAGGGGCTCTAGGCAAACTTAAGTGGGTTTTTTTTTAATTGTTGTTTTTTTTAACATATTTATTGTCTGGTTTTCCCCATTGTTCTCGAGACAGGCACATCTCTGTTTATTTGAATTATGGTGGATTGGAAACTTGTCTTATTAGTTTGGTCGCTACTAGATAACCAGAGCTGAAAGTAGTTGTATTTTTTTACTAGTACAATAAAATTTTTGTTTACATCCATTACATATGATTTTTTTTCTTATGATTATTGTTTGAAAGTAAACTACTCTCATTTAAAGTCATATTGAGAGAAAATCTAATTGCTCTTAGGCCTCGGCCATTAGTAGCACTCAGGGTAATTGGTTTGGGGCCCCTCAAGGTTTTGGGGCCCTGGGCAGCTGACTACTTTTGCCTAATGGCAGTGCCGCCTTTGGGCAGTGTTAGGAAGTAACTGAATACTGAAAGTACTGGGCATTTTCTAATTGTAAAACTGTATTCTAGTACAGTTACTTTTTCACATGGTGCTATTAACCTGATTCATCAGCCAGTTTCACTTCGTGGAAACTGTCTGACCTCGCAGTGTTAGAATTAATTTGCTCGAAGGTAGGCGGGCACTTTTTATCATTTAACCAATCACTGCTATTTGGTCGTGATGTATGTAATGCGCCACTAACAGGGCTAACTGGTATATTAAGCTTTTCCCAAATCCTGTAGGAAGAAGGGCAATAACGTCTTTCCCCTTGATGAAATTCACTAAACATTCTCTTTGTTCCAGCTTTAAACCCTAGATCTTGGGAATCATTGACAACACAGAATGTATGGCTCTTCGCTGATTTGCTGCTGCCCGAACTTGCACTTCCGGGATTCTTGCAAACTGTCTAGTGTATTTTGATTCTTGACCTAGTTGCTGGAGAGAAGAGAATTGGAGCGGAGGCACTAGTGGCGCCAGCCTGGCTAATTCAGAAAAAGGGTTCTTTTCTAAAATCAAAGGGATATGTGATACTTGACATAATTTTGTCTTCAAAGTGCAGTGTAATAGTCAGAGACAAAGGAAACACAGCTCTAGAAATGTGTGTGCATGCAGTTTTCCTTCTCCAGTTAACCATAAATTAATGCATGAACAAACCGTGCATAAAAATGTATTTATGTGATGTTTTTAATTTTATAATATAAACTAAGAATACAGTGCTCTGATTGGCCCCGTGACAGAATACAAAAAAAAAAAAAAATACAAAAAAAAACCACATTTGAATGCAGGTATTCAGAGTTCTATAACTAAATACATTTTCAAAGCATTATTCCCGCCTCTAGGATGACACTTGCATATAGACCACATCAAAATTGGTTCTAAACTAGGATTAAAGTGGGGATTAATCCTGGACTATATCAGAACTAAACCAACAAGAACAGGACCAAACCAGGTCTACCATCAGGTCTAAACTGGGCTCAAACCAGGACCAAACAAGTATGAATGCATGCTGATGTAGATTTGGTTTAGTCCTGGTATAATCCAGATTTAGTTCCAGGTTTAGCCTCAATTTAGTACCAGATTGGTGTGATAGAAATATATGACTTTTTTAGGCCAGTAGGAGTTGAAATGTGATGGGGGTGAAGGTGATGTGCTCTACTCCTCTGTCCTGTTGTTTCTATCATCATTCACCCACCATCACAGAGCTGTACATGTGCAAACACTGTGCTCCATTAGGCTTTAGCATATAGGAAAACACCAACAGCTGTCTCTATAGACTTTATGAAATTATAAAACAAAGTCCCTTAACTCAACTCTTTCCAGCACAAAAAGAAGGTACTACTTACTACTACTAGGTATACTATAGCAAACTATTATAACAAAAGTCTAGATTACATTGATATTTTGCGTCAAAAATAATCAGTACTTAAGAAAATATTTTGATGTAGGCAATCTTTGATTATATGTCAAGTACATTTCCGAGGAAATAAATAAATAAATACACATTGCTACTTGAATACTCTTTTAATCAAATACTTTTATACTTTACTACTACTACTACTGCTACATACTACTAAGCACTACTATTACTATTAAGAGAACTTTTATTTGACCCACAATGGGGAAATTGCAGTGTTGTAACTACGAAGTACATGAACAGCACTAGTTGAAAATTATTTTGCATAAATAGAAAATACTTCTACTGGTGCTGCTACGTCTACTGCTGGTACCTCTTCTAAAGGAACTACTATTACTATATTATGGCTAGTACTGCTACTGCTTCTACTACTGCTGCAGAAACTTCTCTGTTATGGCTACTACTACTACCAGAGGTGAGGACTTGCAAGTCGTGACTTGGACTCAAGTCAGACTTGAGTCACTATTTTTAGGACTTGGGACTTGACTTGATAAAACAGAGAAAGACTTGGGACTACACTTGGACTTGAAGGTCAGTGACTTGGGACTACACTTGGACTTGAGCCCTGTGACTTGAGAAGACTTGATGCTTCTCCTAAAAATATTATTTTAGAAAATACTTTTCTCTTTACAGTTGATAAATGCAGTGCTGAATTTTACAGGAACAAACTGGAACATGTCCCTCCCACTTCTCTGTCACTTTGCAACTAAAGTACTGTGAGATGGTATCCTCAAATATACTACAATAATATACAGTACAATACAGATATATAGAGTACAATTCAATATATAAAGTATATACAGTACACTACAGTAAAATAGAGGATACTACTTAGAACATGGTGTTTTCATTTCAGTGCAGACTTCATGACAAAGTAACTGTTGTTTAGCAATTTTAAATCTGAATTCTTTCTGCTCTGGCCATAATGATTCACACTAAGATCTGGTCAAGACATTTAAAAAGGAAAAATTAGCATTTCTACAACTCTTATATAAATATTCATATGTAAAATACTATGATTTTTTAAGTACAATTTAGTTTAATAGTCATAAAAATTGCAAAAATCTAAGCTATATTTGGTACATTGGTTTAAAGTCTTAAAAGACTTGGGACTTGACTCGGACTTGCAAAACAACAACTTGGTCCCACCTCTGACTACTACTACACAAACTAGTACTATTATGGCTACTACTACTACTACTAAAGAATGTAGAACTATTATGATTTACTAATGAAACTAGTATTATTACAACTACTACTAAAGAAACTAGTACAACTACTCCTAAAGAAACTACTACAACTACTACTACAACCTTATCCAAATGAAGCCCAATCCTAACCTTGTACTTGGTCTTCCTCTCAGGTCTAATTGTGGGCTCTCTGATGGTGTGCTGGCTCCCCAACCAGATCCGTCGTCTGATGATGGCCGCCGTGCCCAAATCCCACTGGACCATCTCGTTTTTCCACAGCTACATCGCCCTCCACCCTGTCGCTGACACGTTCTTCTACCTTAGCTCCGTGATCAACCCTTTCCTCTACAACCTCTCCTCCAAACAATTCAGAGAGGTGTTTCTACAAGTGCTAAAATGTCGCTTGACCATTGAACACGTCAACAAAAGGAACGTGCCCAGTTCCAGAGCAGCTTCCGGCCGATCCATACAGCCGCTGTTCAAGTCTCTGAGGAGAAGTAAAGGGAATAATACCGTGGGGAAGGACAGTCACAGACCACCACCCACTTTTACGACGTTTCAACCACAAACTGATTCTGGAATTGGCTCCGAAACACAGCAGCCTCTCAATCTGCCCGAAGAGGCCGAAACAAGTGACAAAAATAAAATATCAGAGTCTGAAGTTTGATTTTTTAAAGACTTGTTTGATTTGTTTATGAATGAATGTTAAAGGCACGCTGTGTAATTTTTCTAGTGGAAGGTCTGCTACCATGTTTGTCTCCATGGAGAATTAAAATTTTCCACAGTATAGCATTAAACGTACTTATCTTGCATGTACTTTTATTTAACTAACTTGGCCTGCTTATCTTCATTTGGATTGATATGTTTAATGTTTTACAATGGAGCATTCAAGGTAAAGCTATAACATCTCCATGGAAACAAGCACGTGTTGACCACTTCATTAGAAAAGTTACATAGTGCGCCTTTAATGGATGGTATGAAAGGAGAAAACTACCTACTTTTTCAATGTATTAGAAATGGTGCCATAACAACAAACAATTTTATTTTTCAGTATAACGATGCATTGTGGAACTTTTCTGGTAGTGGGTTTGCCATCTGCTTATCTCCATGGAGATGTTAGTGCTCTGCCTGGAATGTTTCACAGTATGGCATTAAACTTATCTATTCTTATTGCAAAAATATGACCTTGAAAAACATGAATGAATGTATGAATGTAACTTGACCTAGTGGCATCATCTGCTTGTCAATATGTAGATTTAATGCCACACTGCGAAACATTCTAGACAAACAATAACATCTCCATGGAAACAACTTGAAACCCTGCATAATGTACTTTTAACTTTTGTTTTGAAGTTATAGCTGTTATTTTGAAGTAACATATCTTTAGTGTATATTTATGTTAAGGATGCATGCAAAGAACATTTTATTGTGCATCAATTCATCAATTCATTCCCCCACCATATTAAACACAACTATTACATAATTTTTCCATAAGAGATCAAGTTGATTGAAAGAAGCTGAACTGTGAGGTCTGGTCAGAGCTGTGGGTAAACGGCAGTGACTCCTCTCGTCCTTGTGTTGTGTGCAGAGAAACAAACCAAAGCAAACATCAATATTTGAGAGGATCTGACTCAGGCAGAGAGGAGAGCTCTGAAAGCGTTCGTATGAGGGACAATTCTTTGTCTGGAAGAAACTCAAGAATAGTCCATGTGAGGAGGTGGACACATGGAGGATATACAGTATAAACTGACTGTCCATGGGTTCTAGAATAATGAGAAAGGATGACAATAGTGATTAACAATTTAAAACTAAATATTATATTATACATTATATCTTTTGAATGGAAAAAGTCCTTAAAATGCATATAACAGGAAAATGAACCCGTGAGTATATTTATTTTTTATTTTATTTTATTTTTTTGTATTAAACAATAAGGAAGACATGCAAAATTCCACAGTATGGCATTAAGCCTGTCTATCTTACGTTTATTTAATTACAGTCATTTTTATGGCTCAAAAATTCCATAAAAACATGCATTCTTACTGTGAGCGAAGTTCAGTTCAGATCTGACCTGTAACTTGTCCTGCTTGTGTTGTGTCTCTGTGTAGATGAGTTTAATGCCACACTGTGGAATATTCCAGACAAAGTAATAATATCTCAATGAAGACAAGCAGGAAGTAGACCCTCTGTTGTGGAAAAAGACTCCATTTGTAGACACTGATGAATGTTGAAGCAAAGACGCAGAGTTTATTTCTTGCAAGAAAAAGGTTCAACAGAATAACAAGCATAAGTCCCCTTGATGTCAGACCCCGAATGATAAAAGCACCAAGTTTATATAGGTTGAGATGACCAGAGGACTTACTTTTCAATGTGAGAAGGTGACGACTCCTACTGTGGTGTGGCCAGATGTGTTTCTGTTGGCCTTCCTGAGCAGGATGTCACATGTGGCGTTAAAACAATAGGAGAGACAGAGGTTTGAAACCCAACTGCTTGATCTGATTTGCATCCATGTTCACCTGCCTTGATCACTTCCTGACAAGATTGCTTCCAGATAAGATTAGCAAGCAAAAGGGAACAGAAGCATTTACGTTGAATGGGCTTTCCCAACTAAATGAGTTTCAGTTACAAGACCAAATGTGTTTCTAAAGATAAAATAATCACACAATATTTGAATTTCCTTTACACCCTCCACCAGAAAAGTTACACAGTGCACCTTTAAAACAAATGAGAACTTTTATGGCCCTTTATCTGGAGCAGGATATCTTCAATGACTACACACAAGATTTCACTTGTGTATATTTCAGTGTTTATAGTTATACAATAACTATAAGCAGTTAAAAAGTACTTCTATTACTAGGCTTTTAAAATAAATTGATATGTTTTATTTTTCATTTTGCTTTTCTTTTTTTTTTTAAAGTGACAGATGCCTCGTCACAACCAGCCGTATTACTGTAACTGGAGTGCACAGTGAGGGTGAAGTGTCTTGCCCAAGAACACAACAGATAAAACATAAACCAGCAACCCTTCAATTCTAGCAGATACTTTATCCGCTGTACCACTGTCACTCATGAACCCATTCTGTCATAAGTCACAAATTACACACTGAATATCTCCAGCAACATTTCACATTTTAAAACTTTTCTGGCAGGAAGTGACAACAACCTGTATCATATTATGTTTGTGTGTGTATGTTTTTGTAATTTTATTTGACATGTTCAAAAAGAAGAAAGGTTGCAAGTATAAAGGTTAGAATAATAACTTGTATCTAATCTGACACATTGCCTATACACTGTTAGCAGAGTTCAAGGTCTTTAACAGGGATGAGATAATTATTAGATAAGAGAGGGAGAATATGCAGTAAAAACAACACTATTATTTATGGAGGTTGTGTTACTGTGTCAGAACATGTATTTGTATTTGCATGTACATATATTTAACTGTCATAATCTTGCATTGTCTGTGTTCATTTAATTCATAAACATTAGTAATACTATTGACTGTCTCATCTATTTTATTTTGACATTGACCAGTGACTCTCAAGCTTTTTGCACCGTATTCCAGCTAAACAAATTAAGTTTCTATAACTGTTACCGAGCAACCATAATGTAAAAAGTGTCTAAATTGCACTATAGTTATGATTAGACTAATAAAAATTAATGATGAAAACACCTTTATTTTGTTAAATGAATGTTTAAACTGACTTCATTGTGTGTAAATTGTTTCTGCATTTTGGATGAACATTTCTGTTTATTTAATTTATTTAATGTGGACATGGTAACACAGTGGTACAGAAGGGTTTTAGATGACATAGGTAGAACTATTCTGTTTTCCAACTCACTGATACTTCCTGGATTTTTTGCTCTTTTCTTCAAATTGCCACTTCAAGGTCTTACATTACACAAGATTGTCTCTTGTGAGCTTTGAGCCATGTTAGAATCTTTTGTTACCTCATCAGAAACATACCTGGAGTTGTGCTTTGTTTCATTCACATGTTTGAGTAATCCTGTCTACATCTCCAAAGCTCTGTTCCACCTTGTGATGTCATGAAGTAGTAGTTAACAGCTACTTTTTTTCTTTTTTTTTTTACCTATGATTCAGTAGAGATTGGCAATTATCCAAATGATTGTAGTGAAGATATATGGAGTTTAAAAACACAGTGGAGCACTTATTGTATTCATCACTGTATTAATGATTGCATGTATATAGCGCCTTTCAAGATACCCAAAGTGCTTTACAGTTCATTATTCATTCACTCCACACTGGGTGGTGGCAAGATACTACTGTAGCCACAGCTGCTCTGAGACAAACTGACTGAAGCGAGGCTGCCAATCTGCACCATCGACCCCTCCAAACACCACCATCACTCACTCACACCACTTTCATACTAGGCAATGTGGGTGAAGTGTCTTGCCAAAGGACACAACGACAGGTTTTTTGTCACTGTTACAGTACAACAGAAGGCAGGTTAAAAAATACATTTACAAAGGCTTAATGATACAGACAACAGAAACTCAGAAATGAACAGGATTTACTGGAGAAAATGTGGATGCTGGGGGCTGGGTTGGTGGCCGGTGTGGTATGCCCATGTGGACTGATGAATGAGCTGCTGCTTTGTACTGGAGAGGCTGAAGTTGGATTGGCAGTGGACTGGCAGTGGAGTGCAGGTGAGCAGTGAGTGGGGACTGTAGGTGAGGGTGGAGCCAGACTCTCCATCTCGCTCCAGACACACACAGGTTGTTTCTCAATTCCCAGGTTCTTTCCTCCACAGAGCACTCTGTAGCACTCCACTAGAATCAGCTCACTCTGAAGCAGATCCAAGTGTCCTGTTCACAGCACCTGGAGCGTACGTGGAATGGACTCTGGAGGGAGCTCGCTCCTGCCAAGGCCCCTGTTCTTCAGGAAATCCCTGAACTCGAGAACATCCCAGGACCTGCGGAGATCCAAGGACTCGAGAAGATCCCAGTACTTGAGGAGATACCAGAACTCAATACTCTCGATCCCACCTCTAGAGGAGCTCATGCTTCAATAGAGCTCCCTATACATTAAATACCTTGTGCAACATTTTGATCTGATGTGTCATCATGTTATGTGCAAAATATGTTATTGTGGTGTTAAACTATTTCTTCTCCTGCCTTTAGACTATAACTGATTTATAATTACAGTTTACATTTCAGTGTACCATAAGCTTCCCATCAGTGGAGCAAGTAGACATCATGAATGTCCATTTAGGATTTAATTAAAACTCGTTATTATATGTAGTTTGAATAATCTCTTTGGAACAGGTGGTTTTCCATGAACTCAACAAGACAGAATGAGCTTAAATCCTCCCTCAGCCTCTCCCCTGGGCAAACCAATTCAAATCAGGGTTTTAAGGTTTTACTAAACAAAATGCATGAATCAGTCATATTTTTAACATTAACAAATTAACCTTATGTCCTTTCACATGGCCAATGCTTTATTAATAAAAACAAATCACCAAATACTGCACATATTCATTGCAGTGGTTTAGTCCATTATGTAATACCCTAGAGCGTGACGGTACCACCACAGTTTACAGCAGAGTACTGCTGCTTATACAAGCTTGTAACATTTTAGTTTGATGCTTGAGTTTGTGTCTTGGTGTTTTTGCTGATTTTCATTTCATTAGACACATGATTCTCGACCTGG